TTAGATGTATAACACAGTAAAACAGCATTATTTACTGGATGACGACGTTTCGAACAAAATTTATTATTCATAATCATATCAATTGTAATCACATGACTTTGACACTTGAGTTTTATAGTTTTCTTTGTTCTCTCCTATTTGTCGTATGGGTAGTAGAATTTTCTAGATACCTGGGACAAGTGTTGAATCATTCCTATTACACGTATTTGCAGTTGATTCGATAAACAAAGCTTCCGCTGTCAATATCTCCCTATACCCGGTGACATGAGATTTTAAAACTGTCATCCTATCCCATCCTATTGTATGGTTGTGTGTAACTGCATGTAGTGTTATAGCTGAACTATTCTCTAGATTTCTTATCTTATTCAGGTCAACCAATCTAGATTTTGCTAGGTTTTTATGTTCAGCTAGTCTGACTTTCCCTGTTCTACTAGTTTGACCTATGTATTTGACCTGACAGTCATTCCAGAAGGGTATGAGATAAACCAAATTGTTCTGTTTTAAAGGCTCCACAGGACTGATCCTTTAACCGACAAAGCATGTTTCTAATTGAGTTAGTGGGTTTGAATGCCATTTTTATTCCTGCCTTGTTAAGAATTCTGCGCAAGGTTTCCAAGGTTCCTTCCATGTATGGAATTACTACTGATGATTTAAATTCCTTATTGTTGGTGTCGTCATTAATATTATTCTTATCACTATTATTATTGTTATTATCACTATCGCTACTATCATTATTTATTTTATTTTTACATTTCCTTACATATTTCTTGACTAATTTATCCGGGTAATTATTAAGTTTCAAGGCTTCTTTTATGTGTTTTTAAGGGAGTTTTAAGAGTTTCAATGAAAAATTATTTGCTTAAATTAATTTGCATCTCCCGTTGATTGATCATATGAGATCGAATTTCTTTGTCTATGTTGAAATGTCACCTCCTAGTACGGACGCTTCAACAATATCTGAAGATGAAGTTACGATGAGTGTTTAGCTTGAGTCTTATTGGAAACATCATCACTTACTAGAGATCCGTATGAATTCACCTGACGCGTCCTAAACAGGACGAAATGCACATCCTAAATCTCACAGCCAGTAACTATCAACCAAATAGCACAGATTAAAAAAAAGAAATCATGAAGAAGTTAAGTGTCTTTTTTTGCAAAATGATCAACAACTGGCAACATTTCATGTATTGCTTGTTGCATTAGCCAGAAACAGCAACAAATATTAGGCTTAAGGTATTATTTGGTGCATTTATTCATATAGAATAATCTCACATAGATTAGATTATCAATTGAAAATGCCTTTGCATAATTTCAACTCATTTATGGAAGTAGAATTGCGTTGTTCGCATACAGTTTATTTCATGACATACGCTTTACCAGTTATTTCAAGTAGACAGTTAAAATTGGAATAATTGCAAGTGATTTGATTCTCTGAGGGGAATTAGATCAAGTGTATTGTTTGGTGTGATGTTTTCGTGCTACTTTCACCAGTCGGTAGCATGTACGCAGATTATATTTTTAATGCGTATGTTAAGATTAATTACTTATCGAAATCTGTATTTTGTGATTATTTCACAACCACTTGAAAATAAAGTACAAAAATCTTAATTTATTGAAAGGTGTAACAAAACCCTAAGAGTAAATGTGAGAAAATGAATTAACAGAAATGAATTGAATATCCATATTTAAGGATGGAGATGATACCAGACTTCAATACAGAGTTCTACTTCATCTCTGTTGACCTGTTTTGAAGTTTGAAGTTATGTACTGATTAATTTTGTGGTGTTCTAAGATCCAGAGTTTACAGTTTTTAAAAAAAAATCCACAAATCTGTACCATTATCTTTATTATCCATCCACTGAGTTCCTAATAAACCATCTAGTGTTACTCTCAGTTGGCCTCATGAGTGCCCGCAAGCTTCCGCTTACATTACATGTAAATATTGTTTGTTTGCTTGTTAATATTCTGGTTGACAGGCACATGGACTCATGTGAAAAGTGGGCTAAATCCATTTTATCTAACTCACACCACCCTCTTCACTCACAACTCTCCCCTTGTATCTCATCAGGGAAAACCAGAAGCCTATATAGAAAACTATATGCTCGCACTAGTAAGTACAAAAGCTTAACCATACCCTACTTAGCTCAAGTTCTGTGTGATAAAGAAAGCATTAGGCTTGACACCTATAACTTATTAAGTAGTCAGTAGAACAACTGGATCTCGTCTTTCCAACTCATATCATTTATAGGCACAACATTTTTTTCTTTCTTTTCCTTTTCTCTCTTTTTTCTGTTATATGATGCTTTGTTTCTTTCTTCCGCTTACGCCAGTGATTATGATAGCACCTAATTTTCTAACACCTTCAAACACTGTTCAACTCTGGCTTTGCTACTGAACATGCCAATATGTTGTTGTCATAATGAACTGAGATCTCCTTAATCTATGTATAATTCTATTTATTGATAATGTACTAACTGGATGCAAAACTGTAGTAAAAATGCTGAGAATTCCATTCTGCATCACAAGTACTGTTTTGGAATAAAGCGAATAATAATAATAATTGTTATTATTACATGAGGTCATCTTCATGTCACCTTCAAACGCTCAACCTATTGCTTTCCATTGGGGTTCCATTGCACAGAATTTACCATTCTTATAGGCGTTTATGAAAAGATTATATTATTTTACCAAAGGTTTTATACTTTAAGCCACTTAAAATCATTATTCATTTATTTTCTTGACATCACATTCCACTGAGACTGTTTAACAAATGTCCGTTTCAAGACTGATTTTGATGTTAACCATGGCCGACGTACAGTGAATATTCCTTGTCTTAAAAAGTTAGTATCTGATGCTTTATCCCCAGGTAAACTTCGCTTAGGTCAACAAGTCAGGGTAGTATAACTCATGTTGTTTCTTGACTCCAGTCCTAATATCAGAAATATTTTCACATTAGTGAACGCGATTAATATATTAAGAGTTACAAGAACTTTATTTTGAAGTATTGTAGCATGCAGTTGAGACACTTATTGTCAATGTGTCGTGTATTGTGAAATTTGTTCAGCAAATGAGTTATCCAAGCATTCGAGAAATAACCTTTCCTAGTGTTTTTTAATAATATTTAGTTAAATATCTCTATGAAAATCATATTCTGAAGATGTAGATACAGAAGACAGAAGCTGAAGTGTTTATCTGGATGGTGGAACTTTTCGAACCATCGGCCTTCGTATTATTAGATTAGTGCTGTTTAAATTAGAGTTACGAGATAAAATGGTTAATCAAGTGTCAGCTTCACTGCAGGATAATTCTAACAACTGCTCTTTTGTGATAAATCTATAAATGATATATTAATCATTGATTACATGTTTGGGCGTGGGTGAGAGCCAGTGTACAAAAAACATTTGCTTTACGTGATCAGAGTGGAAGCAGACAATTTGGATCAATTGCGCTATGACAGACAATGTAATCCAGCATACGCCATTTAGAACCGATGAATTGATGTTTTCAGTCCTACAGTAATTTCTACTCGCTGGACGACCGATAAGAAGACTCTAGAACATTTGGATTTCGCGTGTAGATGATTGATGTTTAATGTCACACAAACTCGAAGACTTACAGGGGAAAACCAATAAACTGGCTGAAGAAGCAGCCAACGAAGACAGGACTATAGGTGAACATAGAGGAGACGGAGGTGATGAAAACAACCAACCAACATCAACAGCACACAACAACCATTTGCAGTCACCATCAGCGGTAGAGATTTGAAAGAGGTCACTTCCTGCCTTCACTTATCTAAGAAGAACGGTGGAACGGGTGAAGATATCAACACCAGCCAGAATCGGAAAGGTAAGATACTCCTTCATCAACTTGAAACCAGTTTGGAAATCTTCTGCACTCCACTTCGGTCGGATTTTCAACAGAAGTATCTAATCATTCAGTTCTTCTTTACAGGTCAGAAACCTGCACTGTGTGTCACAGAAAGGATTTCCAACAGAATACAAACTTTTGTCAACAGCTGCCGCCTTCACTGGCTCCTTACTGAGGATCGAATGGTCAACCGGCCAGGAAGAATTAGCAACAAGAAACTCTGACAACAAACAAACCAACAGTTTAACTCCATTATAGATAATATTTTATTTTGATAAACCAAGAGTTTGATTGCGCAACAAATATGTAGGAGAAAATGGAGATGGATCGGGCATACGTTGAGGAGGTCGTCGAATGACATCGCGCACAATGCAAGCCATTGCTCGAGTGGAATCTGGATGGGAAGCGACGAGCCAGTAGTCGGTGCGAAAGTGACATGGAGGAGATCGTGTGACAAGGAGGTGGAGGAGATGAAAGGTTATGGCCAATCGTGGACCCAGGTGAAGAGGAAGGCAGAAAATAGAACAATGTGTAGATGTGTTCTTGAAGCCCTATGTTTCACTCGAAAGGCAAGGTAACAGGAATAATAAAGAGGGATAAAATGTCCGTTAGGCTTATACTAACTTTCATCTGTCTATCGAAAGATTTCGTCAGTTGATAGCAATCATCGAGATGCCTATTAAAGCATCTACCGCAGAGGTGTTATTGACACTCTCACACAAACACAAACAGACACACAGACAAAGACATATAAGAAAAGTCAGTGAGATAAGTAGAAGAAAAATATGTATATTCTTTTATCTGGTTTAATGTTAATTATTGGTAAAGAATGCAATTCAATAAGAAAAAAACAAAAAAACGAACAAGTACACCAGACACCGACTACATAGAAAGAATATCAGGGAATAGAAAAGAAATCATGACATCATTAATATATTTTTAATCATTTTTTGATATTTTTTTGGTTGCTTTAAAATGCTCTGTTTTGAAGTGATAAATCAAAAAAATATACCTTGTATTTGTGTATTTCACTGGAATGAAAGAATGATTTGAAGAGACAATGGTGGAAACAAACAAACAAACAAAAAAAACGCAAATAAACAAACGAATATGATTTTCTATTATAAATATATATATTCCCAATCACAGTTCAAAAAAAATGATAATGTGTGCTTGAATTCTTCTTTGATGACCTCAGAGACTTTTTATTGACTTATACTGTCAGTTGAACAAGCGGTAGAAGTGTTCTGAATAAGAAAGTAGAGTGTGTGCAGCTTGAAATTTATTCACTATTCAAAATCACGATATTTTCTTGGTACAGAATTATAAAAGCACATATGATATTCCGGGAAACAACGACAGCGATGATGCTTTTTAATTTCTTCACTACCTGACGGTACAAAACTCATAAAGTACCATTCATTACAACCCAATTCTTGGCATAATTCGAAGCATTTTTTTGCTGTCGGTACAACACACATGAAATTCCCTGTTGCTGGTAATGAAATATTGAAAATAAAAATGGAACTGTGATTATTATTATCACTATTTCGTATTTAAATCGAAAATTATAATATGTACTGTATGCTTTATAAAAACAGTGATCATAGGTTCTAGGAGAATGAAGACACGAAGTCACAGATAAGATAGACTAAATGATAGTATTATTATTGTCATCACTGTCATCTTTTCCTTGGGTTCCGAGTGTTACTTAGAACTTCAACACCACATCTCTATTTCGTCCCCTTCTCTACAGTTCTTTTTAGATGACTGCCGTTTCCTCCTCACGCTATGCGTTCCATATTCCCCTTGGACACCGAGCTGGGCATTTCGCATTCAGGTTCTTTTCTATTTCCTTGTGCGTGATGTCAGTTAGTGGTCCTGAGTATTTCAAACGTCTGATGTTTTTTTAAAAACGAATACCATAATGGTAAATGCTACAGATTAATATGAGTGGTAAGAAAGCACTCGTGTGCTTTTCAGCGAGACTGAGGTGATTTAAAGTCAGGATGGCTCTTTCTATCATTAGGGGTCGGACTCATCAGTGACGAACGCGAATTAACTCAGAAAGATGAATTATTTTAAACCATTCTACTCCTAACCAGCTACTAGGGTGAACTGGTAATACATGTAACCGCATAACTTTCAAAAGAAGTTTAAAATTTGAATACAGTGATGTCAGTGAACATTACAGATTTTCTGTGTTTTTTTTTCTAATAAGTTGTCACTAGGTTTTATTAATTTGACAGGTATTCATAATCTGTAATATTGTGACCACATTAAAATCAATAATTCCAAAATGTAGTCAGTAATTTATTCCCTCTGGGAATTGTTTCTGTAAAATAATAATTGGGAATAAAATCAGGTAAAAGGATGTAGAGGCTTCAGCATACAAAGTAATTGTTGTCACAACACTCTATTTGTCTTATTTTCTGCCATCTGTAAGCATCATTTACGTGGTGAAATATCAAGGCCATATATATTTGAAGCCATAATTTATGAGAATATGTTAGAAATGTGCCACAATTACGAGAGGATTTCCTTTGGTGTTAGGTTATAATATTATAATAATGACATCATAATTCTGGACAGTATTTATAAAAGGTATAGAATTTTCAGAGCAGTTTATTGCAGAATATTTTCCCTTCGTACAATATTTTCAACTAAAATATTAATTGAAAGTATATCCTTCTAGTGACACACTGCTGTCTAAGTTGAAGCACAAACCATTCCATTATGATATATCTGCTTTGTCTCCTTCAAGATATCCACTATATCTGGTTGAAAACCAATTGTAAGATGTTCAAAAGTACATTTTGAGACCCAAGGACAAAAATAAAGAACAGTTATTTCATGTATTGGAAAATGTTGCCACCTACAATCAGACCTTTCCTCAAGTTTAGTGGGAACTTGAGAATCACGAACTTGTAAACATTTTAAATACTCACAAGAGTATGTAATACCCTTAGAGGTCATATCTTAATCGACTAAAACAAACCGAACTAAAGAAAATATATGCTGCAATAGACATATGGAAGTTTTTGTTAGCTCAAGTTTTAAGCAGGCCGCCAGAAACGCATTTAAAAGCATCCTCTTCTTTTTCACTTGATCTAAACAAACCTGAAGAATGAGGCAAGGTCATATATGCTAATACAACAGTGTGGCCTGTATCATATTGCGGAATTCAATATACACTGAAAGAAGACTATTTACTGAATAAAATTCAGAATGATATGTACTGTTCTCAATCACTGTAATGTAAGCATGGTATTCTGATAGAGTTTAATATTTAAACAGCAATCCAAATAGTATAGAAAAAAATTGTAAACATTAAAGAAATCTAATGTTTCTTATTGTTACTTTTTTAAATCTACTCATGACCTCCTGTAAACTATTCCATTAAGATGGGATATATTAATATTAATAATAACAGAGATACATTTAAAGAAATTAACCTGATAAGTCTTGCACAAGCTTCTCAGAATTACCAGCTAGTTTTCATCCCTACAGACTGATTTAACAGTAAAACATATGGCAATTTAAAGGATTTTACTAAGTCCCTTCAACAAAAAGTGGTATTGTATTAAATTGCATTAAATGATTGTCTAGCCGATTAAATTATTTATTGCTACTTTATTCCTCCACGTTTTGAGTGGAACATAGGGCTGTAAGCTTGACGCTCGTAGTATCAGGAGCTGCAGTGGTTAATTTTTACAGGGTTAGTTTGTTCGCCTCACTCTCAACCTTCCATCTTTACCGGGTTGAACATCGGCTAAGCGAAGTTGAAGAGTGAATCGGCCAGTGATTGAACTCCAGGGTGCGTACGTGTTTGGTAAGCATTCTACCACTAAACCACCCATGCTGAATTGATTATGTACATCAAAGTAATTAACCAGGCTAATATAGGTTATCAGTGTACGGATATGTCCGAAGAATACAGGGGATCAAGAGAAAATCTCAGTTATAGCATTCCACATTATAACTCAACTACTCAAGGCGACGACAGAAAGTAGTGATCCTTATCACACTAATCTGAAAGAATATCATGTCAAATAAGTCCATAAAGAATGCTTGAGAGTTCACTTCGTCAGACATTTTCAAAAACTGTAATATTCCTTCAATATCATAAGTTCTATGAAAAACTATTATAACACAAACCTTATTTTTGAATGTAAAATTGCATGAAAATATTCCCTAGTAGCTCCCTAAAATCATATAAGGAATTATTAAACTTGATGGCACGTCCAATGAACAACAGACAACCAGTTGGTGATTTTCTGAAGAATTCTGCATTTAGTAACCTTCCAGTCCCAAGTGTTCACCAAGAAGAAGAAGAAACACATAAGATAAAGTAAGTCCCTAACTTATTTTCGTGTAGCCAGAATTCTTGAAGAACTTCTTTGGGTTAAAACCTAAGGTTACATTTTCGTAGTTAGCTAGTGGTTGTTTTAGCTGAGACAGAATAAGTACGATCTAATTTAGGAGGGACAAAACTCAACTCAAGTAAATCCATGTACCAGTTTCTGCACTGAATACAATTAACAAAAGTATTTTGAGATTATCAGGTAAAATATGTTGAGAAGCACATTGATTGGTACATCACTGAAAGTATACTCCAATCTGTTTTCCAGTGTAAATTTCGGGAATAGTTCTGTATTCAAAAGGTTGGATTATTTTGTATGGTTGTGTATTTATTAATAAATGAACTGCACTGATATAAAAGTTATTTACTATTTACGTTTTAGTTTTAATGTTTTCTACTGATTTTCACTAGTGGCTGTTTTGTATTCAAGACAAAAGTAAATGTTGTTTAGACAAGTATATTTAAGAGGTAGGTGTTTTAAAAGCCATAATAAAAACGTCTTTACAGTTGGAATCCCCGAAACTGCCTCAGTAAAGTATCAAAAGCTGTGCTTAAGACTTTTGTTCCTTATAAGAAGTATTTAACAATGTGATGCCCTTACACACAGTAGCTAACTATATTGGTGTGCAGAAAATGAGTAGCGCCGATCTCAAACTTAGTTGTATCATTTATCTATTTACTGGTTTTTTAATATAATTTTTCGACTGTCACCAGACTTTTCAAAGAAGAATGGTATTCACCTATTGCAGGCAAGTGAAAATGTGGGTTATCGAGAAAGTACACCCGTCCTTTTATACCTCAAATTTAACTGTATAAAAAAAAGGTTCTATGCCTCTTTCAAATTTGGCGAATTCTCAAGAGATTCATTTGGTTTTTGAACCTTTTTCTGTTTCTCACTTATTCGTATCATCCATGTATACACATTGTAAATAGACGCACCATTTGGATCTATGATCCTTGCTCCTCACTAGAACATCATTTATTTTTAAACTTTGATTTATTTTGATTGTCTAAATGTTTACATTATCAAATCATTCACCTTGTTCTTATAACTAGTTCTGTTTTTATTATTATTGTAACTATACCATAACTTGAGGACTTTATATTTTGATATTCTGTCACTGACTCAGAAATTGTTGGAACTGTTTTATTATTCTTTTTTCATATGGTCAAAGTAAAATATCTGTAGGAGGAAAGTCTAATTAGAGTCTTATTTTTAGAAAAACAATACAGTTGGCTTGCATATTATGTTCGACTTGATACAATGAAACAGACAGGATAACCTCCGCCACTATCCGACTCGACATTTAATGAAATATCACTTAAAATTCAGTTTTAATAACGACTGCTGAAAAACTATTTAAGATGTGTTTGATTTCGTTTGACAAAGAAGTAAGATAAATTATGATTTTCGACAGAATTTAAATGGTTACTGTATAAATACAAAGGGCTCCTAAGTTCATAACAACGATGTGCAATTGAATAAACTATATAATACCGTCCGATTATTTTGAACATGTGTATTGCTTTGCATATTAGATAGGTCAGATTTTCTTGGGTATAGTTATATATATATGACGTTAACAATCCATAACATGAGGATGCCAAGTGTGAAAAATCCACCTTGAAATCTTACGAAAATTTAAGTGTTTCCCTACTGAGAAACTAGTTGGTGCAGTTACAGACAAAATTATTCTCTGGAATTAGTTCATTGTATTTTCTTCTGCAATCATCGTGACAAAGCTGCAGTTTCGACAAAATACTGAAATTCTACTCTCTTTATCGATTCTTAGGTGATTTCGTTTATCAGAGATTATATTAGAAACTATAAGGAATGAAGGAATTTTTGCTTTCTAGCTATTTTCCTCTCACAAACTAAGGGTATCACGTATATTGGAATCTTCCTAAACTACCTGAACCGTAGTAATTTAAGATAGGAAAGTGTATTTACAGTTAATTAACAGGAAATTTCTATGAGATATTATGAAAAAATCCTATTCCATCTATTAATAGCTTATTATACGATGACATATTTATGAATAAGTAATTGACAACAATGTAAACATGAATTGTTCCAGGTGTGTAAAGTCAGTCAGCTTAGAGATTTCGACTCAATATTTTCCTCTACATTTTATTACAACAACGTATGACAAACTGACAATCAATTAATTTGAAATGCTCTACTTATATTCTATTAACTCTACATTGTTTTTTGCCCAGACATACACCTAATGTGTTGTGTCGAGAGAAAACTTAATTAGTCACTATTCGAATACTTATGATGGTGGACTGAAGAGTATGTTATCACTAAATCCCTAAAACCTGAACTTCTAAGAAGCAGATGAAATAAAACCAGACATTTATCTATTGTTCTAATATTTTCAATACTCTACAAGTTGATCACAATCCATGGTACGAACCATGTCTGGAAAACTAACTAAATTCACGGAACAGCCTACTGGTAAACGTTTTTACTGTACAATCAGAAAAAACTAGACATATCTGGGTGTAATCTTGCAAAGGGTTTTATAAAAGAGGAAATGTCTCAAACTGTTGTCATTTTCTCTAAGATAACTTCAGTGTAAATCCATAAAAATCATATCAATAATTTATGAACCTGTTGCATTAAATAAAAGTTAGTCTTTTGACTACCTAGTTGTTTCATAGATGTAAATATAATAAACATTTAATAATCAAACAAATATTTATGAGCTTACCATTGTGAAATCTGTAATTCTCTTCTGGACATGGTCGTGTAAACTTTAAGCCCTTTATCAATATCCCATTGGGAGATAAAGCTATTTCGATTTAAACAAAACAAATAATGGAAAGTCAGCAAAAAATAGTACCAGTACAGTGACTTATTAATTTAATATATGATTTTATAGGGAACTTCTCTGAAGCATAAGTTGTTATGCAATGAATATGTGTCCCTATACACACACAGTCCACCTTTGTTCAATAGTTTGACAGTTTAATTGTACGCCTAAGAAGCCACTATGACACTAGTTGATATCAGGCAGTTGTATATCAAACAGCTCAGAAACGTCTTTGCTGAAATAAATGATGGAGATGGTATTTTAGGAATGATATCATAAAATGTATTCGTGTTTTGTATGTTAACCAACTTGAATGACTATTCTCAGATACGTCAAGGTGGGAAAAGGTTAGATCACTTAACTGTACATATATATATTCATGAAAAAGTTTTCATCGAATTTCTACTGACTTGATTTTTGTTTGTATGTGTTTCCAACTTCTTACAACTCTAGTATTTCTTTAAAACTCTTATATAATTCCATATTTTTCTTCGTTTTTATGTGCATCTTAATTACAACTTACTCATTAAATTACTCATCTTATTACATAACACTGACACACCTATTCAACTCCTTTAATGAACTGACAACTTTGTAACGACCCATCCGGTTTTATGCTTCGGCTGGCTTACTCCTTAACCTCGCTAAGCCGGTAGTAAGGCCGGTAAGGAGAGAAGACTGCGCATTAGACTAGCATATAATAAAATACCACTTCTACTGAAACTTCAAGGCTCTAGTTTGAAGCCTTAAGTTCCACTAGGAGCGTGAAGGAATAAAATTTTTTAAAAACCATCACTTTTTCTTATTACAGCTAAAGAAAATGAATTTGCCGAAAATCCTCTTCCACTGAACTACTTGTCTGATTTTCATGTATTTTTTGACGTATCTCCAATATTCAAGAGCGTTAATACAGAGCCTAGTAGTTGATGGATAGGATCATAGACACTATAAACATTTTAATAATGAACCCTCAAGAATACAATCATATATATTCACTTAATACATATATATATATATATTAAAGGCATTAATAAAGTCCCTCATTTTGATTTTTCACCACTTATTTTCTTTCATCCACATTATGAGAAAGTGTAGAATTGAATCACTAGGGCAAGACAATGATAAAACATAAAAGTGTAACACCTGACTCTCATACACTTTATTATTTTATGTTATTATTCAGTGTTACCATGGAACAATTTGCAGTTATAATAGATACTAATAAAAAAATCACTACTTATTTGTAATAAAAAAGTACTCACCTAATCCCCTGATCTGTATACTAAGGCATAAAATTATTCCAATGATTCCCATTAATTTAGATGAAAGTGATAGTGTACATCTTTGATTGTATAACATTTCTTCGGTTGCTTTAATCTTCTAAATTTTCTTCACCTCTTTCCTATGAATGTATCTTCTAGTGTTATTTGTGCTTTTTTTTCAAGGATTCTAATAATTTAATTACTAATATATATTGGTTGATTTAAAAAATTACCTGTTAGAAAAAATGTTGTAATTTGCTGTGTGATTTTGTTTTCACAAAGTTGAAAAAGTCGAATCTGTTGTAGAGTCAAATTAAGACAGATGAAGTTACCATACTTTACTCTATAAGAATTATTGTCGTAACAGATTTTTATCTTGGAAAGACTTGAAATATTATTATTTTTATTGACAATAATATATACATATATATATATACATATTTATATACACGCAGAATAAAATATTTATCACTGTACATGTAGACATTATTGTTTCATGTTAAACGTACGCAGAGAATTGTTCTCCATGCGTAGGCTGACAAGCGTATTTTGAACCAATCACAATAGACTCAAAATTATAGTCAACGGCTATTGCTATGAATAATACTTTATTTCAAAACATATTTTGATAGGTGCCATAGCAAGTTTTTAATAATAATAATAATATTACCCTTCTATTTGTTTATTATGACAGATCTTTCAGTATAATGTTACAAGTTTACATTTGAATAAAGTCAAGAGAGTAAAGTGGTGTAGAGTCAGTTAAAACAGACTGTATAGAATTGGTCTCAGTGGAGATGGGTTCCTAAAGCTCAATATTCCATTAAGAAACCGGGGGAAATAGTAATAATAAATAGGAGAATAAATAGGACTCATCAGCTGCACTGCTAAAATGTCCATTCTGACCAGTAAAATAGTTTCTAACATGTAAACAGTAAACTCCAGAGTACGGAACTAATCAGTTTCATTATTATTATTCCCTCGCGTTCCGAATGGAACATAGGGATTCAACAACACATTTCCACTTTGTTCTGTTTTCTGCCATTCTCTTCAGCTGGGTCTACGACTGGCCAAACTCTCTCATCTCTTCCTCACGTGATCTCCTCCATGTCACTCAAGGACGACCCACTGGTCGCTTCCCATTTGGATTCCACTCGAGGGCCTGGTGCGCGATGTCATTCGACGTATCCATTCTTGCTCTTGCTTTCATCGAGAGAAGAAACATGGGCTGGCTGACTGCCTTCCCGAAGGCTTTTACCAGCCCGCGTCATTTCACCTCTGTGAGTCGAGCGAAGAATAAGACTGTTGTTATTTGTAGTTTTTTATTTTTAATATATTTTCTGTGAGTTGAAGTTTCTCTATCAGTTTGAAATATTCAGCGGTGTGGAGTTGTCAGCCCCACGCCCAACCCTCCCTCTTTACCCGGGCTTGGGACTGGCTAGAAAACTAGCGGGTTAGTTAACTAATCGAAGTTAATCAGTTTACTAGATATTACAATTGGATTTTCAGTTAACTTTGGGATTATTGATACATTCAATTATGGAATCCATATTTCTGTTATTTAGGCCTCTGGGATACCACTGATGTGTCGATGCAAATTTATTACATTTGTTAGCTTCTGGTTATTTCACGTGTTATGTCAGCAGAAACAGCATTCATGTACATTGAGTTGAATCTTCTGGGTAAATACTTTTCTGGCCTCCAAATATATTCCGTGTTTTCGCTAATTTAACTGGTTCGTCTTTTCAGTGAACTGAACCTTAATATTGCTTTTGTGCTTTTTCATTGCTTTAACTTTTCTTATTTTGGTTCATTCTTTATTTTATATTAGTATATAATTATGAACGCCCTATAACCAATTATCTTGTTCACTCGTACGTGCACATCCAAATTGATAAAATCGATAGATATCCTGGAACTATTTACAACTTCATCAGTTTCCCGATGGAATAACCATTTTATTCACTTTACTTCTTACATTATAGAGTGTACTACTGACAAGAATTTGAAAGCAGTATGTTGGTGATGGCCTGTCAAAGAATCTTGAATATCAGATTAAGATTAACAGTTGCAAGAGAAAAACTTCAGGCTTTTGGGAAACGGTGCAGAAATTATGAAATATAGACGAAAGAAGTAGAAAAGGAATAACATTTGAAATACGATACAGGTTTTCTATATTTTTAAATGCATTAAAAATCCCCATTCAAACATTAGTAGAGATAAGACCACTAGTTCAGAGAAGAGTCTCTTTTTGGCGAATTCATTTTTACAGCTGTACAATTGCAAATATGTATGGTTATTTTGTACGTGTGTGTACATTAAATTTGTCAAACGAAAATACAATTAGTAAGTTTTTGGTGGAATTACGTAATACGTTTGTTGAGAAGTAATGACCAGTGGTGACGAGATGTATGATTACTGCACTCTGTATATGGCCACTACGTCCTTTCTGCAGCCACACTAGATACTGCTCTTTGACTCTTTTTGACAGGATGCGCGTCAAGCGACCGTTGTACCTAGCTCCACAGCAACAGGTGAACTGTTATATACACATAGAAATGGTCATGTGCGAGACCTTTCTCTTTGGGCTTCTGCAAATCAGCGGGCTACTGAAGAACGCTAGTCCCAGTGTTGCCGCGAAGAAAGTTCTTCTTAAAGAAGTGGAAATCATCCTCTTAAGAACATCACTGAGTACGTCATCTTTGAAGCCGAAGTTCTAATGAAGTATCTTTTTTGGCAACAATGGCGTCTTGCTTTTGGATTTTCTGTTTAATGTTTTTGTCCATGAATCTTCTTGCATATCCGTTTTCCATGAAGATTTGTTTCAGGAAGCGTAGTTCTTCTTCTAGGGTATCAGAGCTGCAGATGCGTCGTACGCGAGTAGCAAGGGATCTAATTAGGTTTCTTTTTCAGCTGATTGGTACCCAACTGTGGAAGCTTGTCAGTTTGCCGTACCACGTGGGTTTCTTATGGATGGACCTTCTTAAAGTTCCGTCAGCTTTTCTTGTAAGTTCAACATAAAGATCTGTTTTATATTTCATGAGTAAACTTAGTAGCTGAATGTTAGCTATTGAATATTTCACCGCTTGAAGTCATTTTGCCCTAGAATTACTACAGTAGGAGTGTAACCATTAAATAACCTATGAAAAACATTTCACTACTGATTTATACTTCAACTAACTGCTAGTGACTGTAGAATTGAAGCATTATAAGCTTCTTATAACTGTTTAATCTAAGAACATATTAACAGAAATAAATGAAATCAAACTCTGATCTTAATTTCGTTCTTTTTTAAATTGAAATTATGTGTGTAGTAACTGAGTAGCAAGAGGGATATTTTCTCTGATATCGGACTAACGTACAGCGATTGCTGGTCAGCAAACTGTTACTCGAACAGTAGCCGAAAATCATATAATTACGAAATACGTCTTTTGTTTTTCAGCAGCCTACAGTATCTGTTGAGTGAAAATAGTAATTTTCTTTGACAAATTTTAACTAATGTTTTTCATTCAGTTTTGTAACTGAAATATTCCTTAGATTATTGTTTGTAAGACTGTAAATCCTATTGTCATTGCTATTGTTGCATTCAGTGTCAAATGGTAAAAGTATTTCGAAATGAAGATTTTTGGTAAACATTTTACTGTTGGTGGTCATTGTCCTCTCACATATTTCACTCATTTGGCTGTTCTGACCATTAATTGCTGTATCACTTGTATCAATCCTTAATAAAGGAAAACTAGACGCTTTCCAGAAAACTCGCCGTCACACAACGATTTATTTGAAAAACTTAATCTTCATCGTAAGTGTAGGTCACTTCCATATTTATTGTTTTATTTTATTCTTTTGCCTTCCCAGAGGAACGTAGGTCTTCAAGCTACAACTTTGAAGTTTCGGTGGCGGTGTATTTTTATTTTTACTGGGTGGGATTGCTAGTCTTACACCCAACCTTCCCTCTTTGTCCGGCTTATTACCAGTTAAGTGCTGCTGTGCTCATTGAAGCTGGTGTCCCCCAAGGTGCTGTACTCTCCCCACTTCTCTTTTCCTTCTTTCTACATGACTTACCATTTTCAAATGATATCAATTTTGTCAAATTTGCTGACGACCTGACTGCATCCTTGCCTGTCAAATGTCAAAGTGACTGCTCTAAAACTAATGGCTTTCTGTCATAAATCAGCCAGTGGTCCAAGGAAAACGGTCTTACCTTAAACTCCTCCAAATGCCAAACAGTCAATTTCACCTTTAGGCATAAATCCGACCTAAACAAACTGGTTGGCTCTCACGAGGTATGCAACATAGATGGCAGTGAAATAAGCACCAAGTCGGAAATTAAATACCTAGGCGTCATTCTATCTGCTGATCCCTCCTGGTCGTCTCATATCTTGACGATTTCCAGGAAGATATTCCGTCTTACCTTCTACATCAAGAAGTTGAAACATTCTGGTATAACCCAACCCTTACTCCTACAATTCGTTAACTCTCGCATTCTGCCTATTATTCTCTATTGTTTCCCCTTTAGTTTTTCCCGGGCTACTGAAGAAGGACTATACCTTATTACGCAGGATGTTAAAGGTTGTCAGCAGGATAAGCAACGTGCCACTTAACCAGCTTGTTAATATTCTCGTTGACAGGCACATGGACTCATGTGAAAAATGGGCCAAATCCATTTTATCTAACTCACAACACCCTCTTCATTCACAACTCTCCCCCTGCATCTCATCAGGTAAAACCAGAAACCAATATAGAAAACTATATGCTCGCACAATCAAGTACAAAAACTCAACCATACCCTACTTAGCTCGTGTTCTGTGCGATAAAGAAAGCATTAGGCGTGAGACCTATAACTTATTAAATGGTCAGTAGAACAACTGGATCTCGTCTTTCCAACTCATATCATTTATAGGTACAAAGTTTTCTTTCTTTCTTTTCTTTTTCTCTCTCTTTTTCTGTTATGTGCTGCTTTGTTTCTTTCTCTCGCTTACGCCAGTAAATATGACAGCACCTACTTTTCTAACACCTTCAAACACTGTTCAACTTTGGCTTTGCTAGCGACATGCCAATGTGTTGTTGTCATAATGAACTGAGATTTCCTTAATCTAT